TCTTATGGATGACAAGTGGCTATGACAATGGTGAAGAATCAGATGCAGAGAGTTAGAGATAGACATAGATAGATAGATAGATAGATAGATAGATAGATAGATAGATAGATAGATAGATAATAGAGTAAGAGATAGATAGATAGATAGAAAGAAAGAAAGAAAGAAAGAAAGAAAGAAAGAAAGAAAGAAAGAAAGAAAGAAAGATATCTGTGTGCTAATTGATCAAACAATTAGAAAATGGATAGATCTGTAACATCCCTTCTCTTTCTGTTGCTCCTCTGCGCACCCTCAATCCTCTTGCTTCAGTTTCAGCTCAAATACCAGCAACCTCACCTGAGTGTAACATTACAATACCATCACTGCAAGCACAACCACTGTACTCCCTACTTACTCTGCAGATACAGACTGTTCATAGATAAGATACAAAAACACTGACATATAAATGCTGATTTCAGATGTTTCATCCATGACCATTGGCTGCGGAATACTTGCTTTTATTGGGCTGTAAATCACCCATGGTGGATAGGATATAAAAGGATATAAGATAGATAGATAGATAGATAGATAGATAGATAGATAGATAGATAGATAGATAGATAGATAGATAGATAGATAGATAGATAGATAGACACTGACTTTCAGTACTATTTGGAATACTAAACACAAGAATTTACTATCCCATCCATAGGGAATAATCAATGGGCAGAGAGCAGTTCATGATAAAAGGCGGCAGCTCATAGTAACCATTTAAAAATGATCTCTTGAATGAACAGGCTGCAGGAAACACAAACCTGATCGGTTGGTATGTCATGTAGATGAGATATAGATATGTATATACAACTCAAACATCCATGATTGTATATGGTGCACATCACACAGTCAATGGACCCCTATCACTAGCCCTCAAAGTTAGTATTCACAACAATATACTGTCCTCCAGCCACTACCACCAAACACAATGGCAGCCTTTGAAACTACAAACTGTCTGCTGTGCAATGCAGAGATTTAGGGCCAGTTCACACCATATGCAGTTGTGATGCAGTCCGCTTTTTTTGATTGCTGGAGTCAAAATACATCACAATGCTTTCCTATGGGCTTTCTTGTGCTCAATTCACACCATTGCACTCCGTTCAGATGAAGTCAGAAAAAGTACTGCTTGTCCTATTTTACCTGCATCTAACTGCACGAAACGCATCAAAATGCACTGAAACGCAACTGAACGCTTACAAAAAAACAAACAGAATTGATTGTGGCATCATCCAGGGACATGCAAGGTGAAAAAACGCATCAAAAAACATCACAAACGCGTCAAAATGCATCAAAACGGATCACAATGCAACTGCGCAGACGCACGCAGTTGTGATGCAGTTTCTGGTGTGAACTAGCCCTTAAGGTGCCCATACTTTACGATTATAGTACGAGAATCGCGGGAAATCCCGCGATCGTGCGATAATCGCAAAGTGTATGGAAGGCGTGCGAGTGCGTTTCTACTGTACGGTCGCACGTCTTCCGTCGAACAAGCAGGCTTGAGTGGCCTGCTTGTTCAACAACTGCCAAACGGGCCGGTGTGCACATGCGCACACTGTCCGTTTGCAGTCATCGGAAGCCTGCCCCTCATTGCAGTCATCGCAAGCCCACCCCTCAAGAGGGCGGGCTTGAGATGATCGCAAGTACGATCTGCCTGTCCAAGATGGGTAGATTGTACGAGCTTTTAATGAACTTACAACCATTGCAAGACTTTTGTCTTGCGATGGTTATAAGGTGTATGGGCACCCTTAGAGGCTTCACATTTCTACTTGTTCTACTAACTCAAACTCTACATTAAACAGGACACATAGGTGGACACAAATACTAGATCTGTTCTAAATTCTTAGTGCAGTAATGGTGCTGAGCGGCTTAAAAGGGTTAGGGGTATGCTGGTATGTAGAGAGATGTTCCCATTGTTACCTATTGAAATAAAAGCTATTTCTGTAATACATTGCCCATTTTTGCAGTTTTTGCACCTACCTCATGTTCGTGCGTGCGGCTAGCAAATACATTATCACACATTTGGAGCCGTGTTCGGTATTATGTTGCAAAGTGCTAAATATATTATAACTAACAAGTAATGCTTTTAGCCTTATTCAGTAAATAGTTCTTCATTTTTGAGTGCTTATTTCTCAGTGCAGGGCCAATTAGAATTCACTGATGTCCGATTAATACAGCATATAATCTGACTGGTTGCTATGGGTAACTTCACAATAATTGCTTTTGAACTGCCACTATGGCGGTGCACGGGGTAAGCTTCCCTGTAAATGGGCCTGATGTGAATAGGGAAACTTGCTATTCGTAGCATCTCTGCTTATGACAGCTTCAGCTCAGATTTAGTGCTAAGTAACCCCTAGGGATGACCATGAGTTTGACTAAAACTGAAGTTGTTCACAGTTCGCAGAATGGGCATTTTGGCCAGTTTGCCCACATACTGAATCTCCATCTGTGTCCTAGCAACCAAAGATGCCATGAAACCTGCACAGCATCATTAGTTGCTAGGATGCTAGTGGCTGGGTTGCACAGTGTCCCTGGTTGCTAGGATGCACCATAACAACCTATGAAGCTATGGGGCTGCCAGTGTCTAAGCAGCCAATGATGCTGTGTAGTGTTCATTGGATAACTGGTGACTGAGTTGCACAGCATCATTGGTCGCTAAGATGCAGATAGTGCACTATAACAACCTATGAAGCTGTAGGGCTGTCAGCGGCCATTGGTTGCTAAGACGTTGGTGACCCCCACAGCATCACTAGCTGTTTTAGTCCACCCGCCTGCATCCAAGCAACCAATGATGCTATGCATCATTGCGACCCAGTCTCTAGTGTTCTAGCAACCAATAGCACTGTGTTGCATTGGTTGCTAGGACACAGAGGGCTATGAGTTCAGTTTGCTTGGATGTTTTTCGAATCCAGTTTTCTGGCTGGGTTTGGTGAATGCCCAAGCAAACCAAACCCAGGCCAGTTTGCTCATCACTAGTAGCAATGCTTACTCGCAGGGAGTCAGCGTTAGATAGTGATTGGCCTGTGTATGAGATAATTCCTATAATGAATGTTTTCTGTAGACCCCTTAGTGCCTATCCTGCAGCCCAAAGGCCACAATCGGCCCACTGGTAGTTCTTGTTCAGCTCCTGGAGCCCAATAGCCTAGAGTGGGAGCATTGATTTGTAATGTGGTAAGATCAATGGGTTCTGCTAGACTTATGCAACCATGTCCCCAGGCTCTCCCTGTCTTCTGGAGCATGCCTTTAGTCTCCAAGCAAACCTGTAGCATGTCCACAGTCTGTGGCTAACATTTCCTCTAGTATGTCTGCAGTCTGACAGTCTTCTTTAGAATTACATATACAGAACATTATGAAGGCCCTTGGGTAGTGTCAGGGGCCGAAGTTCCGCAGTTGAGGCCCCCTATATCTGACAGGTTGACAACCACTGGTGTAGACAATCACAGATTAGAAAGCAGTGATGTCCCACCAAGAAAAGTCAACCATTAGCATAGTTTGTCAGGGTACAAGGTACTGGATTCCATATTTACAGCTCTTCCTGTGCAAGTAGATGAAAGATAAATTAGTTACATTTAATAATGTGCATTATTACAATGTAACCATTTTCAATGGCCAGACACCTTTTCCATTTTAACAGAAGACAATAGAAGACGATTCTAAGATGACATTCTTCCATCAATACCAACACTCTTTAGCATGCAGACCAAATGAGTTATTAATGACTGGCCAAGGGAGAGTTTTCATTCATTGTGCTGAGAATGAGGCTGGCCGGTCAATTTGGCCCGTCGATGCCCCGGGTACTGGCTGTTGGCCAAAACAGGCCATGTGAAAAATGTCAATTCTGCCTCATAAATCTTTAGCATTCTTTGAACCCAGGCAACGTTTATGTTAATGCATAGACATGACCCCGGAGTGTTCTGTCAAGACAGATGCTGCTGGTCACCGCAGTAATTACCCCATAAAGGCTTTCCCCTGAAATTACACCATCTCCTACAACAATAATTCATTGGCGTGTACCAAACGGACCAGCCTATCCAAGCAGGTCTCTCACCCTGCAACCTTGCCTCGTCCTGCAACACAACAAATGGATACAGTTCACACACTGCTCTGGAAAAGAAAAGGAAAGAGCAAAGGCAGGAGGGAGCTCCGGTACAAAAGGCCAAATTAAAAGGGTCCTCTCAGGGGGTGCGTGTCAACCTCAGGAATGCTGATCCCGAGTCGCACAATGGCTACAAAAAGGCTTACTCCCTCACTGCATTCCACCATCTATAACGAAGAGGGTTCTTTCAGAAGGGGTGTCAGCTACAAAATTCTTTAATCTCTCAAGATTTTCTGCATGGCACTGGGTCAATGGCTCCTTACAGTCAGCAGCATGCAGCTAGAAAGAAACTGTACATTGTACAACGCTCAAATGATGAATGACGTGAAAAACTCAGATGCTGTTTATTAAAAAAAAATGCAATCCCTCAATGTAATAGTAATAATAATAATACTAATAATAGTTATATAGGCATATCACCCCATAGATTACACAATCACATCTTCAAACATCCATCCAAATAAGAAACTATAACGTGTAGTTTCTCCAGCTACAATTGGGCACTGGTGCTGGTAATTCCAGTCTTGCCATCCGCTGGCCATCCTCCCTGAAAGGCTGGCAGACAAGGTTTGGGGGGGGGGGGGGCAGGGTACAACCTCACCCC